CCTCCTCGTTTCCGTCCCAGCTTTGTCCGTTTAGCTCTCTCTCTCTCGCGCGCGCGCGCTCTCTCCGCGTCTTCGGGGATATCAGTTGCTGATCGATTCAACCCGTGGGTGGTCTCGGCCACGGGTACGCGCTGTAATCCTACTCCCAACCGAGGCTACCCGGTGTCCCGAGGATTTCCGCCGCGGCTCCTCGACTCGACGTATCGTCGCCGATATACCAGGCCTGGCATCGAAAGCGGCCACTGTATGTCGCCCCCGCCGAAGGGACGTACTTTACGGCGTCGTTCCGTCCTCCGACTACCCGAGCGCCAAGAGGTAGTCCGAGCGCCGACAGAAAAATGGTAGCCGGCTATCATGCAATACGTGATTCCTGAATTCGGCGATTGGAGTTAAAGTTATAGATATACTTGCGTCGGTATTTTTCGAAAAAAAATATCTTACAATAATATCATTAAAACGAGAAAAAAATTGCACGCAAGTCGTGATGGAAATTATGCATAAAGAAAAAACTGTTTCTACGAATAAGATAAAGCAAGAGACAACAGCAGACACGTCGTGGATATTCTCACGCTTTGATTTTTTATGATCTAACAGACGGGGAAGATTCACCCGGTACGTGGAGCGGTATGAGAGATTGGGGGGGGGGGCGTAAAAGAGCCCGAGACAAATGACGTACAGGAGTGGTAAGCACCGAGCCCCTCCGATGATATCGGATCTACCTCGGCCGTCTAAAAATATCAGTTGGAATCGCTCTCGACCAGTCTCGAAAAGTATGCCGGTATGCCGGGATCGTTAACACTTTGGGGACGGCGGATACAAATCACGTGCCGGCGCATAAACTGACGTGAACGACGCAACTCGCGTTCTTAAAACGTCAAGCGACTTGTGTCGCTCATATTTCGATATTTAATATATACTTTGATGTATCCTCCCTCTCTCCCTCTCCCATCCCCTACCGCGATGCTAGTCCTTATGCAATTTTAATGGCACGCCGACTAATGACCAGGAAAGACCATAAATCTTCGGTTCGCCTTTATCACAGTCGGGGCACGCGGGTGGGGAATACCACTAGGAGGATCTATTACATTCGCCGATAAGCATCGGTTAGGAAGGCTGAGAATATTACGGACGAAAGTATAACGAGTCCTTGCATTTGCGGGCGTTATAAATTAATGCCGCCGCGCGCGTTTGTGTATAGATATATACGTCCGTATTGCATTGTGGGCCTCGCGCGCACCGCGGAGAAGATATGGTCTCGCCTTTATCGAGTTTAGATCAACCCGTAATGTCCCGCTAAGACGTATGCGCCTCATTAATTCGCATTTGCAGCAGGTCGGCCGCCGGGGATACACAAGTCCGACCCGAACGACCGACCGACCGACCGACCGAGAGTGGCCGCGCGCGAGAGAGGCGCGAGAGAGGCCCCCATTGTCGCGTTTGAGATCTCACTTTCGCGTCGTCCCGTAAGATATCTAGTAGCTTACTCATCCTCCGATTAATCCGCGAGGTCGACACACCAAAAGCGACACACTTATCCAAACGCTGATATATCACACCGCGCTCGTGAGGCATGCCCTTTCCCCTCCCCCCCCCCGGGAGACGAACGACGGCGGCGCGCTTCCGCGATAAACTCTCGGGGACCTCTCGGACGCGACGCGTTGCATCCGCGTCCTAACACACTCTTTATGAGCTCGGGAGATAATCGACCTAAGATAAATCGACGTGCGAGGAGCTACGTGTAATCTCCGGTTCGTTTCGTACATCGACTATCGCGAAAAGATGACGTCAGTACGTATCAAAATTATTTTAAGAAGTATTGTGCATCAATCCTACGATTAAGAGATTAACGCGGAAAAATATGCGACGTGAAATCTTCTCGCGAAGAAGTTAATGTCAGGTGGGGACAGAGCGGCGGCGGTGTATACGATGTGTCGGATATGAAGTCTACGGGAGATTCCTATGCGAGAATTGTATTTTACGAGACGAGCCGTTCTATGAGGAGCAAAACTACTTGTTGTTTTCTTTTTTTTTTTGTCGTCGTTAACACAATAGTTTCTCTCGGCGTGGAATGTCGAGAGGAGGAAAGTGCGGCGAGTGTTCTGCGTCTGCGGGTTAAACGTCTCGTAACAGCGTTTTCGTCTACATTCAGCGTCGCTTCTTCTTGTCGTCTCCGGCCGGAGAGGCGCGAGAAAACGATACCGACGATGAGATACGACGGAAGTGCGACACCCCAGCCGTAAGATAGCCTACCTTATGAATCCCCCGGCGCGCGGCGCCGCGCCGATACGTACGAGCGGGTAGCATGAGCGTTACACGTATACGCCGATCGGGCACACGAGGCTGCCGCGTATTGCGCCTCTACGGGGGTGGTCCGCGCGTTTCTCGCGCCCGCCGCGCCACGCCGATGGGAACCAGCCGCTAATCATGTTACCCGTTATACGCATCGTCCACGTATCCGCTACGTCTCTCCTCGCTACTATATACGTTCCCGGTCGTTGTGGTCGGCGGGTAACACGGCGATGCATTTACCCGGCGGTGGCCCGGCTACTTGGCTGCGCCTGTCAACCTTACGCGCCGCGTCGTTATCGAATTTCAACGAAATGCCTCTCGCCGCGCTTCTGTAAGTCCGCGCGATTTCACGCAGCGAACGCGTCACTCTTTCGCGAATTCGATAAAAATATACGCGATATACAACTGCAGCTATAGATATATATGTATCTTGAGAATAAGAGGGCATAAATTTTAATAAGGCATTGAAAATTAATTATTTTTATCGAAATGCTTGTATAACAGATTGATTCGCAGCTAAACAATTTATAAGCTTGAAGTATCACAAAACATCAGATGCTATTGAGGATATTAAAAGGTTATACGGAAGAATGGCATGTTTTTAAATTTTTGTCACAAAGAAATGAATTGTGAATTAATCAAAGAATACGTGTGTCTTGAGAAATCAACTTGTATTCGTATCCTAACGATATATAATTTCGGAGAGAAAACTTTTCATATAATAGTGATGTCTCTTTTGCGAAGGTCAGACGTTAGATTGCATTTGCAGGCTTGTACCTCGGCTTGTGTACGGCGGCCGCTTCGTTCTCTCGTTCGCACAAGCCTTCGCGTCGATCAGCCGCGGTCCATTCTCGAGGAACGGAACGTCGAACACGTGTCACGTCGAACGAACGACATGGGCGCACCTAATCACACAACGGTGGTCCGCGATGCGTGTACTCACGAGTTTCTCGCTCCTAGGTGGTACCGCACAGTGCGCACACAATGCCCGCGCGTCGTATACGCTGCAACGGTGAAACCAGGCAGGATTTCACGGCGCAGAAATCTTAATTCCTGGAAGAGAGAAACGGGAGGAAACGCGGGATGTGAGTACGGCGGGAATTACAGGAGGAAGAGGAACAGGGATAAAAAAGATAGAGAGAGAGAGAGAGAGAGAGAAAGAGAGAATGGCTCGGGATCTTCTCGTCCGATGGTTGTACGAGGATAATGCAGATAAATCGTAATCCCAGCGCCACGAAACGAGTGTCGATTAATTCCGAGATGAGCCCTGTCAAAATACAGGCGCGCCGTGAGGCCCGGCGCTCTCTCGCGCGTACGAGAGAGCTAATCTTGACTAATAACTGTCGCAACTGCGCCGCGCAAGGCGAAAAGGAAGGGCCCGTTATGGGTCTATGAGAGACGACGGAGCGGCGTGTGTCTCGCATCGCCCTGCGATCGCCGCGGCCTCGTACCCTCTCACGATAGATGCATACGTTCATAGATCAGAGATTACCGTAATAAACCAATCATCTTCCCCATATGAAAATTCATCGCGACGGGGCTCGACTTACCGCCGCGCGGTCTCGGTTTCCCAGATCGACGTGCCATTTGGCTGCCAGAGACAATATAAGCAGTATACTTTCGCACTTATGTGCAAGATTTACCGCATTATGTAAAAGGGGATCAGGTTTCTCAAGACGTGTATGTGTTATCGTGAACGAAAACAAAAGATGTTGAATAAATAAAAATTTTGAGAAATAGTGAATAACTGAAATTAGAAAGGAATAATTGTGAAAAAGAAATTATTCCAGACTGCAGAATATTTTTGTGGTAATATTTTAGTGTTTAAATTGCACTCAACTTGAAAAATGTAAATAAAGAGATACGTCTTTTAATATATTTACATTAATACATTATGAAAATTGTTTTAAGAGCTAATTTAAAAATTTGTGAATTGCCGAAATATTCGATACTGAAGCTGCAGAAGGATTGAGAACGGAAGGCGGGGAACGCGCGAGAGAATACACGATGAATCATGCTCGGGATCACGTCGAGCTCGGCGCGATGCGGATGCATGCGATTTACCGATACCGAGATCAATGGCATCCGTTCTAAATTCGCGAAGATTGGCGCACTTAGCAGAAGGCGAGAGATATCGGCCGCCGCGCGGCGGTAAACGCGAAACGGTCGCTCGTTCCGCCGAGGCATTTCTCTCGGCTACGTGATCGACCATCCCCCCGAAATGACATTATGCGCTGACCTCGGCGCACAGTCGATGCCCGCGAGGAGGGATCCGGGCGATCTATCCGCAGGCCCGCGAAAGAAGGTTGCCTCTCGACACGCGATTGCGCCCGTTACGGAAACCCTCTCCCGCGCGTCGCACGAAAAGCTCGATCTCACTTCTCGTGGGAAAAACAAGTATTCCGCCAAACCGGTGCTCCCGGAAGTGCGTATCGGACGAATCGATCGCCGACATAACTCGTACGGCCGGGATCGTAAAGAGGCGCGTTTTCTTTCGAGATAAACTTGTCGATGAGTCTCGCGGCAAGATTGATCGCTGAAGAAATGGCGTGACCGAAAGGTTTGTATGCCCGCTTAATTGCACGGAGAGCACCGGGGGTTTTTATTACGCCGCGTTACGTTCTGCCGCGAAGCACGCGATCCTCCGCGAGACGTTAGGAACAAAGTATTACGATCATAAATAAAGTTGGCGTAATTACTTTAACAATTACCATTATCCGTTTCCTCTTCGCCGCCTTCTGACGCTGTTTGCCATTTAAATCTCTCGTGATCCAGCTCGTTGCGATATATCTTCCCTTGAGGTTTTTCTGCATCAACGGTAAGTGAAACTTCGCCTCCCGTGTCCGCATTTTTCACTCTCTATTGGCGGAATTGAATTGAAGAACTGTGTACATTTTGTACATCCCGATTGATCCAAAGTGATAAATTCTATAACACAAACAACAAAATAAAATTTACATATTTATTTTTGAAATTTAATACCAAAATCTTAATGTATAATTCAAAGTTTTATTCATGAATATTTCGATATTGAAACGATTACGATTCTTCTTTAATGTATAATTCTCTTTTTTTTATTTCTTTACGTATCTTAAAAATTCTAGCTATAAGACTTATTCATTAAAATTTTTTTATTGTAATAAAAATTATTAGTTATATCGTTGTTATTGTTATTTAATTTCTTTGGGTGAAAAATTCACATGACATTTTTAAACTCTCTTTACGATAAAAAATTAAAATAAAATAAATTAATAGGATTACTAATAGAATCTTAATCATAAATTAATTTAATAAAAAAAAATGTAATATAATATTAAAAACATGTCATTCGCGCGCTATTGATCTCTGCATGGGTCCATCAGAGACACGGGATCGATGAGCTTCGCAGGTATATTATCTGAATGGAGAACGAAAGCGGCCGCGGCTGAGGCGTTCGGGGAGTAATCAGCGCTAAGTACAGCGATTCCCCGAGAACCGTGACGCCATCTTGTTACGTGAGCGTCGTTTGTCTCTGACATATGATCCAGGGAACCCGTTGGTTGCCTCACCTGTCCGCTTCTTACACGTATATACCTCCGCGCATCGCCGCCGCCGACCGCGGCGGAACGGCACGGCGGAGGTGGGAATCCGTGCGGGGCGGGGGGCGCGCGGGGATCTAGATCGAGATCGGAGATGGATACGCTCGCGAAACAAATTGATTCCGATGATAAGCCTCGATCGAATCCGTATCGAATGCGCGGGTAATTTGCCAAAGAATCGACGCGCGGATGTGCGCCGTTCCGTATTAGGAGCGTCAGCCACATGTCTGCAGCATCAAATAGATTCCGGCTTTTCCCCGGGACGGTGATCTTTTTATATGCGAGTTGCATCACTCCGGATTACCGCGTCGAATCGCACTTTGAAGCGTCCGTATCTTAATGCCCGACAGTATACGTTCTCACGTCCGCGTGATCTCGTAGTTTCCAAGTGTCAATCAATTGCATTCACACGTCCGCCTGGATTCTCATGCAATCGGTATCAGTCGCATATAACGAGATATGATCGCTGACGATCTAGTCGAGGGATTTATAGGTTCGATCGGGGAAATGTAAAAGATCGTCAAGGATTCGCCTGAGTGTGGTAAAGACTTTTTTTTTGTGAGAACATCAAGTCTATTGGCAATTTATGTGTTTTACCATATCTTTAATTCTAGTGGTGCAATATAGACGATATGCCGCAATATAGCGCGATATGATGTGGTTACCGAACTCAACCACCAACAATTGCACCAACCAGAATTGAACCATTATGGAATTTAAAATATATTACCGTTAGCGTAAGCATACGTCAGATCTCTTTACAGTTTACTATATAAAGCGAAAAGCGAGTAGCACCGCCTCGAAATTCCCTGAAGATTCAGAGCGTGAGAATATCGTAAACTTTAACCGCGAGCGAGATCCACGCCCGTGCTCCATTTAGCGTGGCCCCTTCGGATATACCGAGTCTGCAACGTCACTCGTGTGTCTCGTTCGGACACGACATTCCGAGAAACCATTTGTCACCGGTTGCGTCGCATCGTCGGGCGAAGGTCGCCGGCTCGATGTATCTTGGAGAACGCAACGGCCGACTCCAGCACGCTCACGATCCCATCCGTTGCGGCTATAACGATCGATTAGCCGAGGCAATCTACACGATCGAAAAGAATAATTCTATATCTTTGAAATAGATCTGAATAGCCGCTCTTTAACTATACGGCGGCGAAGGATGGTGGCGATCGGTCGAGTGTCGAAGCGGAGACACGTTTCGTGGGCTCGATCGAGATCACGATCGCGATCTCGATCCCACCTTCGGCGGCGGAACAGGAAAGGGGACCAGGGGAGGCAGCAGGGCGCACGGCGAGGAGTGGAAAAGGGGCGGCGCAGGGAAGGGGACAACGACGGGGGCCTGGAGAGTCCGCGTCGGCCACTTCCCATGTTAATATCCGGTTATGCGTAAGGTATGGAGGCGTACGGCCAGTTTGCATGGAAACTAAGGCATTACCGTCGTGGACCACCGGAGTCGAACCACTCGTCGAACGGCCCTGTTTGCCGACACCTTGGTGGACGACTCGCCGGAACACCCTACTCTCTCTCCTTATCTCTCCCTTTTTGCGCCTGCCTCTCTTCCACTCGCACGCACTCGTTCTCAGCTCGTCTCCGCCGCGCGCGATTCCGATTCCTATACTCCCCCAGAGAGAGAAAGAGAGAGAGAGAGAGAGAGAGGAAAGAGAGAGAGAAAGAGAGAAACGTTCCGTTCTCTCATCCGCCGCGGATTGTTCAGATTACGCGCGTCCAAGTATCACCGCCGGATCATTGCGGTTTTATCGATACCGGCAGGACCGGCCGCTCAGATCTAGGGGCCGTGCGACTTATCGGCGTTAACGATCACGGGGCCCCGTATCGCCGATCGTCGAATTAAATGGCAAGGCCGACTCGCTCGCATCTCGCGCTCCTTTCGGATAGATAAGACTGGGAAATCACAGACTGCGAAACGATAGCGCGCAAGCACGGCCGACGTTTGAGGTAGCTTCGCCGTTGTTCTAGCTATTGTTTATCAGGCAGCCTGGTCTTACCATTCGATAATGCGACGATATAAGATTTTAATTTTACGATGTTCAGATGGAAAGAAAGATTGTACGTCTTTATGTGGAGCGTTTTACTTTCTTTCTCTTCATCAGTATCATTCTAATATACGAGGAAAAGCCTTTTCTCTGGACCGTTAGATTAGGTGTCAATTAAACGTGGGCGGTCGATCGCGCGCTCAGGTGGTATTCTTCTGTTACAGGTTTTATTTTTATCTGAGGAACTGGCCTTCTTTGCTTTTCTCTCTCCTCTCGGTTTTTTCCCCAATAGCTTTAAAATAATGTTAATCTTAATTATTGTAGAATTATAAACGTTATTGGTGCCGCGATATTTTCGCTAATAATAATAAATTAATTTTAGTTAATTTCAATTAATATGTATTAATATAAATGAAACCAGGAATGTATATGCATGCGTAGAATGAGAATTCTTGCAGAGAGTTTGTGGCCTTCGGCCGGTGCATTCCCGCGCCATTCCATCCACATCGGTGGATCGCTTTTCAATACGGCTCTGCCACATTTGAGACGGCATCTATGCCGGATCTAAAAGCCGGCCGGCGCCCACACTCGGGGTTCCTAGACCTAAGGAGGTTCAAAGTTCCCTCCGCGGTCGTTTACGCCTTATTTATTCTCGTAATTTACTCCCACGCGGCCCTTGCGCGGCCGCGGCAATTTACTTTACGACGATCATATCTGAAAGTGGCCGGTAGAGAGTAGTGCTGCCCGGATCCACCCGACGACGGGCCTGTGAGACCGCGCGGATCGCGTCGCGGGGTTCCCGTCCGCCGCGGCGACGACGACGACGGCGGCGGCGGCGGCGGCAGCGGCGGCCCCGGATAATGGGCAACGGATGGGAAAGGTGGGAAAGGAAACGGGTGATGACGCCGGTGAAAAAGAAAGAGGCAGCGCGCACGCTGCAGAAGAGCGGGCGGCGCGTAGCGGAGGAGAGAATCTCATCCGGGCCCGTCGCGGTATACTCTTCGCGCGGTACGTTCGCGACGGCGTTTATGGACTGTCGGCGCGGAATATAAAAAGTCGCGGCCGAGCGTCGTGCCCCGAAGTGTATACTCACGGCGGATACTTTATGACCCTTAAACGTCGCGACCGCGGGAAGGTCGCCACTTCGGCGCGATGTCGGGAACCTCGCGATCACACCGCGTCACACCGCGCGTCTCCCGTCCGTCCCCCGTCGACTTCGAATCGGCGCAAATCGGAAGAGTTACGCGCGAGGGCAGATATACACTCGCGATTAGGATTACCGCGAGTGCCTAGGATTGGCACCCGGATGGGGTCCCTGTACATGGGCGTTACGGACAGCGGATCGTATATACACAGACGTGTAAACACTCGACGAAATGCGCGCGTCGTGCCGCCGCCGGTCAAATCGCATAATCGGTTTCCGCGACAGGCATCTCTGAAATGCGACCTCTGACAAGCGGAGGTCGTCGAAAGCGGTTAAACGACACCGTCGGGAAGATCGTGTCGCATCAGGTATTCCCCACCGCGGATGGATCGCAATTACCGTTTATATACCGATATTCGCGCGTTCGCACTCGCAACCTTCGACGCTCTTTCAATTAAATTAATCGAAGCCATGCGCCGCGATATCGCCCCGCCGTGAGATACGGCGACGCGCGTCGCATTCGCGAAATAGATTTACCGATGCCCGAAGGATATCATGGATTCTTTAGCTCGCTCCCGTCGTCGCGAGGCGAGCCAAGAGAGTCCGAGCAGGCGGGCACACATGCGTGCCGGGCGCATTCTCGAAGTGAAGGAATGCGAGATACACTGTTATAATTAATTATGAAGACATACACATGCGCACGCAGGTGATAATGTCGCCACGTCGCATTGGATTCCATGGAAAGTCAACCTCTAACTGGAGTGCGCATCGAAAGATGGAATAATTTTCCGTATACAAACGCTTGCATCATCAGAGAATTTAAGGCTTTCTACGAGCCCTCCCCACTCGAACGCGGTGCCGTTTTTTTTTTTAAACTGTTAGGATAATTGATTGCGGTTACATATTGATGGTTTGGACTGTTGCATACTCGCTTACACAATCCTGTTGCGGCTTACCCACAAAGACTTTCTCTTATTCTATTCTTAATTGCACGTACTACTGCTACTTACGTATCTCTCGCTGTGTGCTTACATTCACGATCTATATTATTATTACATTTTTGTCACACATAGATGGGCCTAACTGTAGAATTATTTTCTGTATTCTACTTTTGACTAACAATAAGATTTATAAAAGAAAATTGAATAAATGGAGAGCTGAATAATAATAATAATAATAATCATAATAATAATAATCTATTAATAA